TATGTTCCACTCTGTTGCGTTTAAGTCGAAGTGTGGTTGATAGTCGGTAATTGTGTGCGTTACAACAGCAGAAAATGCAGCACGATAGCTGGCGTCTCGAGATTGTGCAAAAATGTCAACCGATTTGTCTGATGAGAGAGGCGATTCTCCAATGCCCGATATAGTGATGCTTGTGCGATATGTTTTGAGTTGAAGCTGGTCAGCCAGACGAGCGGTGACGAAGTTCAGCTGCGATGTCGAATTGGCTTTCAGGGCTGCTGGTTCTGTTTGAAGCGAAGCGGTTGATGCAAATATTGACGCCGAATGTGGCTGCATGGCCGTTGCAGGTGCAGGCTGCACGCCGTTGGTAGCTGAATCTTCACCCATATGAAGTAGCGTGTGGTGCTTTCCTGGCAGCGTCTACAATGCCCTGACCTACACTGCTGCAGGGAATGGCCCTTGCGAAGACAGTTGAGGCACAGATGCAGTCGTTTTGCCTCCTTATATCGCAAGATGGCGTTTAAGTTTAAAAATCTTGGACATTTGGTCAAATAGTGGTCCTTAGGGTCACAAAATATGCAAAGTGCTTGCGTGAAGTTAGTCGATACCATAAGTGTGTTACGGCTCGATCTACTTGAGCTCTTGCCCACCTGTTGGCTAGGTGTCTTGTGTACCATAGCGCTTTCCAAATTTTCCATCATCCGGCATCTCTTTTCCAGAAATTGCGACATGTCTGCCCATTTTGGAAGTTTACCGGTGGGCAAGGCCTCCTCCCACTTCTTATGCGTATGCTGGTCCAATTTGCCAGATATTAGATGAATAAGCAAGCCATCAGCAAGCTCCTGTGTGGTTGCCATTGTGCTTAGTGCTCGCAGATGGGAATTGATTTTATCGCTTAATGTTCGTAGACTGCTTGCGGAACCTGACTCAACGCCTGAAAGACCAAATATAGACCGCACGTGTGCCTGAAAATGGAGTAAATTGTTATCAAAACTTTTGGTTAGCAGTTCTATAGCCTTGTCGTAGCTCTTTTCCGTAGGCTCAAGAGCACGTATTGTGTCGAGGGCGGCGTCATCCAGACACGAAGAAAGATGTTGAAACTTTTCCACTTTGGCAAGATCGTCATTGTTACCGACGGCGGAGTTGTAGACAGCGTAGAGGTCAGGCCAATCAATGTAGGCTACAGAGAAATGTGGGAGCTGCAATTCAGGCAAGCGGGACCTGCGGGATGTTGACCTTAACAATGAGCTGTGATTGTCAATGCTTTGATGAACTGTTGTAGAGTTGGAGACTGTGGCTCTGCGCAGATGGTCGAGCTGCCTAGAAAGCTTGGATTCTACCTCGTAATATATTTGCGCGAAGTTCTCCCTCGAGTCGCTCGCCAATTCCAACAGATCCAATTTCTCGAGAGTTGACTGCGCACGATCAAAATCAGCATTAATGCGTTCGACACCCTTTATGCGCACTTGTAGGTCAGCCTCATCCAAATGGCTAAGCTCATCAGGCAGAAGGAACTGGTTCATTGACACAAGTTGTTTGAACACTGCAGCAGCTTTCGCCTTGTAAAAGTCAATGTCACTCGCGGCCAGATTTGGCTGTGCAGTGGCTGCTGGATCTTGAGCGATTGCAGATTACGTATGCACTTGTTTGTATAATATAAAAATATAAACACGAGAGCTCTGCTAGTAGCACGCAATTGTTCAAAAGCGGATTAAATTCGCGGATTATTTAAGAACAGCGACGTAAACAATTGGCCGGCCGGCAGTGCTAACTATGTATGTTGTAAGCAATAATGTCAATTAGCAGCGGAGACGCGAGGCTGAATATACATACATATGCAAGCAGCAGGCAAAACGAACTAGCGAAGTTCAGTATGCGCGTTGTTCTTTATCACTCTCTTTGTGTTTGTCGATTACAGCTACGCCTATGTACGTATGTACGTCAGTGCGTGTTGTACAGTCGCACCAAAATGCAAAAGAAAAGTGGCGTGCTTTATGCGACCGAAAGCCTCTTGCATGTACCGCCTATGCGAATGCGGGTGTAGCAGCAGAACGATTGTGCGAATGTGTGTATATGCGTACGTATACGCGTAAATCACCGTTTGTATGTTATATGTGTGCGTGGTCTTTTCACCGAAATGTGGCAAGACGCTCAACGAAATGTATTTAATTGTACCGAATTGAAACAATTATGCGAAATTGACTCCCAAAAGATCACGTCGGGGTCACCAATGTTTAGAGGAGGCACTGGTTTGTACCACCTTTGGCACGATTATAATCAGATTGGTTTAATTTAAAATAATAGGCCGCGCTACGTTATAATCAGTGTGCATTTGTGCGTGATCAAATTGGGAGTAGTCTGGCTACCGCGGCTGCAGCTTCAGCTGCATGCGAAAGCTCAGAATGGATGGTGGACAAATATTGAGTGCGAATATTGAGCACAATGTGAGAATGCAATTAACATGAGTGAAAGCTTAGACTATTGTTTACATATTTTGGGAGTTTAAGATTTCAGCCAATATTCGTTAATTTTGAGCGTTCTGCTCCGAACACATATATATATATCGCAATTTTCCCTTTCTTTAGGTTAACTTGAACTTGCACAGACACTTGAATCGAATTGCTTATTTTTGGAACGCACTCGCAAAGTGCAACTAAGGAATATAGTAACGAGGAATGAATTGCACTTGTGTACTTATCGGTTTGAATCCAGTGGTTCCACCGAAGCTAGGAAGCTAGAAGGACCCAAATGCTGCTGTATTATCGCAGGGGGCCTTTTCACTTCCCAAATGAAGACGGCTGGTATGTGGTTTTGTGTGAGTGTTTATTTGAAGATGTTTGATGTACACTGGTGCGTATGTATGTATTGAATGCTTGTACAATGTTGGTGGTTAGTGTAATGTACAATGCTTGTGTATATGTGATATGGGTAAAAAAGTTTGATGTATAGTATGTATGTTTGGGGGAACTGACACGGTGCGGTGAGAAGTGTCGCGAGTAAGTTTAATTTTATTTAATTAAATTTCTATTTGATTAGTAGTTCCAGGAGGAGATTTTGATTGCGCAAAATTTTCTGCATAGTTTGTTGTATTGCTACCATTGTATTTGTTAGAGTTGCCAGAATTGATTCAATTCCACTAGGCAATTGGGATGGATTTTCAGTGGTATGTTGGGTAGTTGTTTCTGGCCCCTGTTGCGATGTCTGACGAATCATTATTCCTGCAGTGGTTTGTTTAGAGACTGAGGCGTACGACTCGTTGGTGTAGCTTGACGCCTTAGCAAAAGATTCTCCTGGAATCGTAGTTGACGGTATGTATGGAAAGTTTTGTGACTAGATTTCGAGCTGCGGATTTTTGTTGGCTTAGGTGCAGTAGATATTGTAGCTTATATATTGGGTGAACTTCATTTTTACTTATAGGCATACAGTCAATAGTCAGTTCTACCTTGAACATTGGTTGGGGAATTTTATTTCTATTTATTATGTTCATTGCCATTTTGACTTCAAAGCCCTTGTCTTTAAGTCCATCTTTTATCTCGCTTGACTCCTTTGATAACCACTAGTAATCCCTTCCTACTTTTAAGTTGGTAGGTACAGTAAGTAGTTCATTTTTTCATCGTCGAGGTATTTGGTCACTGATCGATAGTTATTTTCGTCATTGACTTGTATTTTAGTTCATTCATTAGTTCAAAAGGGGTAGCATACCCTTTTTATAGACGTAAATTAGAATTTGTTTTCGCCAAAGTAGTGAGTTTCTTAACTAATTCTGTACAATTAGCCTGACGCACATAAATAAGTGGCGGCTTTAGTTGCTGGGCCTTAGCTGTTTCTTCAGATAAACTGAGAATCGCGAATTTATTGTTTTTCAGTGCCTCAGTTGGCACAGTGTTTTTAGCTGTTTTTATTATTTTGGATGCGTTGTTTTTCTTAGTCGCTTGTGGGCTTAGTTTTCGTTTAATTTGCACATAGCGATCGAGCCCAGTCTGTATTAACGCCCCGTTGGCGCTTTGCGTAATTTTCGGCTGGGAGGGGGAGGTCGCAGTGAGTTGAAAATACCGGGTGCTAAGAGACTGCTGTTGTTATTGTTGTTGTAGTTGTCGTTGTCGAAGACACAGTTGAAAGCGAGTGCATTATACTGGTTGTTGTTGTTATCAGTAATTCGTTGGTAAGGCAGTAGGGGTCTGGAGACAGTCACTGGGCACTCCATGACCCACTTTGCAATGGGATGGGTGAACAAAGTCAACGCAAGTCGACGTTCGTCTTGTTGTTGGTGCTGCCGAGCACGATTCTGGCTCATTTTTCTTTGCTGTTTACAGAGCTTATGCTCTTACTCCTTGGCATTACTTTGTTTTTTTTTTTTCACAAGATTTAGTTCGTTTCTCTTAGTTCTAATCGCAAAATATGATAAATTTACATGAGTCACACGAGCATAGGTGCCCATGCATTCCCTGAGCGTCTTTTCGAGAATTAATTTGTTAAATTTGGCGTTAATTGCACTATAATTTTAAGACACGGCGAAGCGATATAAAAATACGTCCGACGTTTCGTGAGCCTCTGCAAAACAGCAACAAAAACAACAGCTGCTGGCAGTGCTTGGCTTGAGATAATATTAATGGCTATAACTGTAAATCGGCCTAACATAATGGAACTTCGCAAACGGACTAATAATCACTAATTGAAAGTATTTGATAAATGAGAGTCCGAAATTCTGAGAATTATGGAAGGTATATAAAATCACTGATTTCGGGGGAGAGGGTGTGGGGATGAAAATTCTAAAAAACAAATTTTCACTTCACAATTTTCAATTCACATAAGGCATTTTGGAATATGGTGATCGACTTGTCTTCTCATGCTAATCAAGAATACTCTTCGTGGGGTCTGTCAAGCATCTTTCTACCTGTTATATTTTTCACCTCGCGCGCACCTAATATAGATTTGATGTGCAGAATATAAAAATCAAAGCTACATACGAATGACCATACGCGCACGGACAAATAAACAACAAATAACAACATTTATTTTCATTTAGTTAGCTGTTACAAATGTGGGTTTTTGAAGTTTTGCTTTTAATTGTTTTATATGTATCCCATTTCACCAAAATGCTAGAATTTTTCTAAAATAACAAAAACTAAAAATACAAAAAATAACAAATTATGTTTAAACGAGTATGTATGTGCATATAGCTTAAAGTGTAAGGCCATATTTTGAAATCCAATTGAGTCCTTCTACTGTAGTGGCTTTTGGTGTATATTCACATCCGATCCAACCATCATAATCTAACTCCAAAATCTTTTCAAATATATAGCGATAATTTAGTTCTCCTTGTGTATCCGGCTCATTGCGGTTTGGTACTTGAGCAATTTGGAAATGCCCAATTTCCGCTTGATATTCCTCCAAAGCCTTGGTAACATTTCCCCTTATGTGTTGAAGATGATAGAAATCAACCATTAGTTTAATGTTGTCGTTGCTTATTTCTTTAATGGCCAAATACGCTAAAAATAAAAAATTAAAAATTAAAAATATAGAAACATAGTGGCAAGCCAAACATGCTCTTGACAATTAAAATGCTATCAATGTCTATTGATATGAGTCGTATTCATATAGATAATTATTAATATTTTTTTTAGCCTGTACCCAAAGGGTAAACGGCTCAGAATGTACAAAAGCTAGAATTACCAATCTTGGTATCCAGGTTCCCCTAAGCCCTAGGCAGGTCAAGTTTATTTTTATAACCTATACCCAAAGGGTAAAAGGGTATATTAGTTTTGTGCGAGGGTACATGGAACACACAGAAGGAGGCGTGGCAGACCCCACAAAGTATATATATTCTTGATCAGGATGACAAGCCGAGTCGATATAGCCATGTCCGTTTGGCCGTCTGTCTGTCTGTCTGTTCGTCCATCTGGACGAGCGCAAGGATCTCAGAAGGTACAATAGCTAGAATTACCAAACTTGGTATCCAGGTTCCCCTGAGCCCTAGGCAGGTCAAATTTATTTTTATACCCTATACCCAAAGGGTACAAGGGTATAGTAGTTTTGTGCGAGGGTACATGGAACACACAGAAGGAGGCGTGGCAGACCCCACAAAGTATATATATTCTTGATCAGCATGACAAGCCGAGTCGATATAGCCATGTCCGTCTGTCTGTCCGTCCGTCCGTCTGTCTGTCTGTCTGTCCGTCTGTCTGTCTGTCTGTCCGTCTGTCTGTCTGTCCGTCTGTCCGTCTGTCTGTCCGTCTGTCTGTCTGCATGAACGCAAGGATCTCAGAAAGTATAAGAGCTAGAATAACCAAACTTGGTATACAGATTCTCCTGAGCCCGAGAAAGGACGAGTTTGTTCATTTTTCCCGATGCACCCCCCCCCCCCACTCCCCCCCTATTCAAGATTTTCTATAACTCCCGTAATTCTTGGAATTTTAAACTAAAGTATAGTAGACACATCTAGTTAGTAATTATATATCCTTATACCAAGTTTCATTATGATAGGTTGATCAGAAAGAAAGTTATAGCCATATAACAAGCATTTTGTGTTATTTTTTTCTCTTGCTCTCTTCGCTCTTATTAATATAAGAGTCCACATATATCGCCGCTCAGTGAGTGTATATTCGTGTTCATTTACCGTAATTTCATTTCTGTGCGCTCTTGCATTTACTTACATTTCTAACCCTCTACTTGCTCGTGTCATAACGTCGTGCTGCAATAAGTCATGCACAATTAAGGATGCAATTGATTCCGAACAACAACGATTTGTAAGTTGTTGGTTGTGCGAGAATTTTATGCATATTAAGTGTGCTGGACTAAGTGGTCGTGACCTTGATAAAATTTACTCGCCTAAAAAAGGTTGTGGTGGTTTGAAATGGTCATGCCCTGTTTGCATAGACATACAATTTAATTTCTCTCGTATGTATGACAATGTGAGAAATAAATTTTTGAGCTTGCATAGAATTACTAAGCAACTCTCAAGTGAGTTTGACACAGGGTTCGACTTGCTTAGTAAATATAAGTTCGAATCTCCTCCCAAGCGTAGGCTTGAACCTCAATTCTTAGAGGTTCCACCTAGCTCGGCTCAGATAGATTCTCCGATTCCCTCGCTATTAAATGTAGATGTGTCGCCGGCAATTTCATTGTCTACTTCGCCTGGAAATTTATTTGAAATTTCCCCTCTGCCTTCGCCGGCTCATGTTATGTTGGCCCCGTTGGTAGCTCCTCCTGTGCCTAATATATCTAAACCTGTAAGAACAAGGGCTTCTTCTAAAACGTCGGCACCACCTCCTATAGTTTCTTCAGGAGCTGTAGAAGGTGCGGTAGTCCCAGCCCTTCCTCTGCCCCCGTCTCTTACAGTGGTAGCTCCTAGAAAGCAAGTTTTCGTGTCTCAGTTGTCCCCTGATACTTCTTGTGAGACTATCGCTGCCTATATCGCAAGTAAGTCGACAGCTGCTGTAAAACAAGTAAAAAAAAATTAAGAAAAAAAATTTGATCGATTTTACCTCTCTCGGTATTCGAACTCACGTAAAGGATGTTAAATTGCTCATTTACATAGCAATTGCGTCTGTGTGAGTGTATGTATGCCTATGCGCATTTATTCGTGTCTGTGTAAACATGTGTGCAGTCAACCAAAACACCAGCATCAACAACAGCCGCGGGCAGCGCTTGAGCAGCACATATATTTATGGCTACAACTTCTTGTTAAATCGGTCTATCATAGTGAAACTTGGCATACGGACACATAATAACCAACTGGGGGTATTTCCAAAATTTTAGTTCGAAATTCCAAGAATTACGGGAGTTAGAGAAAATCGAGGGAGGGAAATTCCAAAATATACATTTTCTGCGTATTCACACAAAGCATCTTGGACTAAAATTTGGTGTTCCTAGGTCTTATAGTCTCCGAGATATAGGCGATTATACGAATGGAAAATCGGGAAAACCCCCATAGGGGGGAAGTGGGGAGGAAAATCAAAAAAATAAAACAAACTCGTATAGAATACACACATAACGCATCTTTGTGCAAAATTTGGTGTCTCTATCTCTTATAGTCCCTGAGATCCAGGTGTTCATATGGACGGACAGACGTCATGCTGATCAAGAATATATATACTTTGTGGGGTCTGCCACGCCTCCTTCTGCCTGTTACATTTTTCAGCTCCCACAAACCTAATATACTTCTGTACATTTCATGTACAGAGTATAAAAATAAAAAAATTTAAAAAAATTTGATCGATTTTACCTTTCTCGGTATTCGAACTCACGTAAAGGGTATATAATTGCACATTTACATAGCAATTGCGACTGTGTGAGTGTATGTATGTTTATGCGCGTCTATTTGTGTCTGTGTAAGCATTTTCGCAGTCAACTAAACAGCAACATCAACAACAGCCGTGAGCAGCGCTTGGGCTGCGCTTGAGCAGCGCTGCAACAGCAAACATATTTATGGATATAGCTTCTTGTTAAATCGGTCTATCATAATGAAACTTGGCACACGGACACATAATAACCAACTGGGGGTATTTCCAAAACTTTAGTTCGAAATTCCAAGAAATTCGGAAGTTAGAGAAAATCGCATTTGCGGGGGAGAGGGGGGAGAGAGGGATTTATAGGATTTCCCTCCGCTTTTCGGTGTTGGATTTCGTCTTATCTAAAAAATAGACCCAACGGATCTTGCTTAGGTCGCACATTTCTAAGCCCGTGTTTGCATCATCAGGTGTGCCTCAAGGTAGCCATCTTGGCCTATTACTTTTTACATTATTTATTAATGACCTCCCCTCTACCTTGTCACACTCTCATATTCTTATGTATGCTGATGATGTGAAACTTATTCTGACTTATAAAGACCATACTCATTTTCATCGCCTGCAGGATGATCTGAACTGCATGCTATCGTGGTGCTTAGCTAACCACTTGTACCTCAATTGCGCTAAGTGTAAGTTCATGACATTTCACCGAACTTTGCCCCATTTAGTTACGTATACGATTGACAATGTGCCATTGCAACGTATATCGACTGTTGAAGACCTTGGGGTTCTTTTTGATTCCAAATTGAACTTCAACCTTCACATATCTAGTATTTTCAATAAGGCTAAGGGGTTACTTGGATTCATTAAACGTTGGTCCAAGGAATTCAATGACCCATATATCACTAAGCTTCTTTACACTGCACTAGTACGCCCTGTGCTTGAATACTGCTCATGCGTTTGGTGTCCGCAGTATAGAAAGCAACAGGAACGTATTTAGTCTGTTCAGAAGCAATTCCTTCTTTTTGCTCTACGTGGTTAAAGCTGGGATCCCAACCTCCGCTTGCCATCGTACTCTAGCAGGCTGATGCTTATAAACCTTCCTTCTTTAGTAAATCGTAGGACTGTTCTTGGAGTAGTTTTTCTCCACAAGTTGATTATCGGCGAGGTTGACTCCTCTTCCCTCTTAGGTCGCCTTAATTTTTCCGTTCCTTGTAGACCAACAAGGAATTATTTGCCATTCGTCTTGTCTAGGTGCACAACCGATTACGCTGCGCACAATCGTTTTCGAGTCATTTGTTCCAATTATAATGAGCTTTCTCATTTACTTTCAACAGAACTCTCTCTTTATTCTATGAAAGTTCTTCTTTATAGTTATCTCCGTGGAAATCTCTGACCACATACTGCTGTGAGTCGCGGCATAGCTGGCTGGACTGGCTTAAAACTTTCCCCCACCGGGTTGGATATTTCCCTCTTTCTCCTTTTGTCTTTCTTGTTCCATCTTTCTCTTTCCCTGTTTCTCTCTTCCTCTACAGCTTTTTCGTAGACTTTCTTATCTTTTATGTTGAGACTATGTTATATTAATCATATTTGAATTTTTAATTTTAAATCTTTATATATATATATATATAAAATGTTATTACCTATATATTGTTATTGAAAAAATCGACAGATCCACTTGTTGATTTAAATAAATAAATAAAAAAAAATAACCATACCCAATGCACACATACATACATATGTACAAGTACACAAACACGCATAGACACGATTCTGATGTAAATGTAAATGTATGTGTGCATGTATGGAATATTTTATATTTAATTTAGTTAATTAATTAAATTAATCAAATTAAATTAATTTAAAATATATATATATATATATATATATATATATATATATATATATATATATATATATATATATATATATATATATATATATATATAATTTATTTTTTGTGTGGTGGTACAGGGTATTTAAGAGTTGAGCCTGCTCGACTTTAACATTCCTTTCTTGTTTTATTCTGATTCTCCCATTCCACTTCCCCGTAATTCTTGGAATTTTGAACTTCAAATTTGGCATATACATTATGTGTCCGTATATTAAGTTTTTATCATGATTGGTCAATTCTAAAAAAAGTTATAGCCATAAATAAAATCGCTGCCCGTGCCCTGCCTGCAGCTCTGCCCGCAGCTTTTGTTGTTGTTGCTGCTTTGGGTCAACTTTGTGCTGCATATATACACGCATATAAACACGCA